AGGTTTTTGATTGGCACTCAGTTTTCCGGTGGAGCATCAAAGTGACTGAAGTAGATCGCTCCGCTTTCCGGCAGACGGATCTAGCGATGGACTATAAGAACATATGGGCATCCATCCGCACTCAACTATGAGGGAATCCCTATTCTCACAACCTGGTCGACGTCATACTGACGACCATAGTTTTTCACAGCAGAATTGTTCAACCGATGTTTGAAACTGTGTCGAACACCTTGAAAATGTTTCTCTTCGTGCTTTTCCCTTCTTCCCCTGCTACCTGAGCACATGAATCCACCGGAGAATGGACCGAATAGGCAAGTCACAATTCGCCAGTTAGTCTTTCTGAATCAAGACCTGAATCGACGTATCACTTTGAAGAGAGCAACTCGGCACATTGATAAAGTCGGTGTGGATGATCCAACAGCGATGGTTGACTATGCTAGAAAAAGGTCGTTTCAAACACGAGTCAGGGATAGGAGTAACATTCAAATTTTTTCTTGACTCGCTGGTTCAAAGTGCGCTGGTGATAGTTGGGGAACTCCGAGGAGAGATCTTCTTGCCGAGCAGGTGATATCTAGTACATTGGTTCACCCAATTGTGGAGTTCATGGTCTTCAAGTTTCGTGTTCAGTCCTCTACTTTCTAAATGCTGAAACCTTCATCCTGTTTCTATCAAAGGGAAAGCACTCCTGAAATGTCCAGAAACGCGGACATTGTCACTCAGAAACTTTTGAGCTTCGATGTCTCCGGATGAATGAGAAGTGTTCTGTCTGATATGTTAACCTTCTAGGACTGACTTCGAGAGCCATATTTCTCAAGGTCTGTCATGGTGCTTCGAATTACATGGCCCGAGAACTGAAGTGCACCTTTGACTTGAGGTTCTCGGTTGGAATATAAATGCTCCTCTTGATAGCTTCTAGAGTTATTTGGATGTATCGTTGAATAGCCAGAGATCAGATAAACATATAATAGCCAGAGAGTTGAGATGTGGAGCTCCTTCAGTTTGGTTCATATTGCTGCGCAATACAAATTGTAAGCATGTCCTCATTCTGATCTAAACATTGGGTTACAGACAGGTCAGAATTATTGGTCGAGACAAGCCCGCACGATTTACATTCTCTCATTCTCAAGACTCAAATTCTATTTTCTTCCGTATTTTTTCAAAACTTTATTTTTTGAGGATGATAAGTACCCTCTCATCTCCGAGTTGTCGAATGTGCCCATGAGCCTCATCGGGGAGCAGCTATCAAAGTCAGCAAACCGGAATTTAGAGAAGAACGAGAGACATATTTGTCCTAAGTTAAGGTGAATTATTTAAAACTCAAATGACACATGAAAAATTTCTGATATATAATAGGCAGACGTATTCTGCAAAGCTACTCTTATGGAACTTCTGCCAGGTTTTGAGTACATCGTCTGATAACTGGCAACTTCTGTCGGATGAGACAAAACCTGTATTTGGAACTCGCCACCCTTTTGGCTATTACAAGCCTCTGTCGAATCAGTCTTCACTACTCTCCGTACTTACTATCCAAGGTCTAACTTGATTCACTCAAGCATGCAGTAAGTTCACACAACACACCTATGACCAGAAATCTTACAGCAGATGCTTCTGCTGACTTTATTTATGTCGTCAGATATACACATGGTTCTGTGATGTAGGGTTCAGTGTGATAGTACATTGAGTTCGAGAATAATTCTCCAAATTCTGACAAAAGTACTGTATACGTCTTCCTGTTTTCGTCATGAGAGTTCTCAAGGAATATAAACAGCATAATTTGGAGGTGTTCTCTCTCATTTGCAGTTGCAAGGGTTGCATGAGCACTTGTCACCTCACTTGCATCCTTCGTTGGCACCCTCAAAGCTGTATCAAAAAAAAACAAAATTATAATCAGATATTGATCGACCATCCCAAAATCCAAGAACGGTGATTTTATGAATGTAACGCCATGAGTACATAAGCCACCATACATGTTTACAGGTTAATCAAGCATGAATTGCAAACATGTGTCCAATATATAGAAACCGGCGGGATGATAAGTACCCTATCATCTCTGAGTTGTCGAATATATCCATGGACCTCATCGGGCAGCAGCTATCAAAGGCAGCAAACCGGAATTTAGAGAAGAACGAGAGACATATTTGTCCTAAGTTCAGGTGAATTATGTAAAACTCAAATGACTCATGAAAAATTTCTGATATATAATAGACAGACCTATTCTGCAGAGCTACTCTGATGGAACTTCTGCCAGCTTTTGAGTACATCGTCTGATAACTGGCAACTTCTGTCGGATGAGACAAAACCTGAAATCGAGGCGAATTACATATCTCGTGCAAAATCTACTTATAGAAATGGTCAGCTGCACCATCAGAGAACAAACAGATGCAAAGGATGGAGGGAGGGGAGCAGACACTTATGGCGTTGAGAGCTTGTGAGAATTCAAGTTCAGCACAAACAAAAATTCCCAAAGTCTCTTAAACACATGCATTCAATGTAACATAAATTAAGCATAACACCTGAATTGTACAATTAGGAACTATTGTCACAACGACTTTGTCCACTTCAGAATTCAGGTCAAGTCACTCAGTGTAGCTTTCAACCAGAAGCCAGTTTCAAGTTTAATGGTGCTCTACTTCACTGCCAACTAGAACCAGAAATCACAGCAGCAAGACTTCAGCATATAACTTGGATACTTTGCCCCATGGTCAAAAAGCTGAAATGTACATGTGCAAATCAGCTACCACTTCTTTCGAGCTACATTGGAGCCTATCTAGGTAGAGTGGAAAAAAAAACAGGTCTGAAAATTGCCATTGAAGACTTTTGTAAGTGAAACTAACCAGTATCGAAGTCCACGTACGACTTTCAATTCATCGCCATATGTTAGCACGTCGTGTCCTCTCACCAAGTGGCTTTCTCTTGGCGCCTACATCCATGTTATCATCTGAAGAACGAGTTCTCCTATCTGTAATAACAGCAATTCAATCGCATATATTATCATTTTGATACAACATATTTCAGTTAAAGTTAAAGCTCAAAGAAAATGCTTGGGAACCATCTTACTTGCACGTTTTTCGCCGTGATCACGTTCTGGTCTTTTGCTAAGATCCTTAACAAGAGACATCGCTGTTGCAAACAGTTCAACTTTATTCCACCACTTGTTGGCAGCAACAGCCCATTTTACCGACCCTTTGTTTTCAAGTGTGTTGACACGGATCTTATATGAGGCGTCTGCCGTATAAAGTTCGTCTGCCGTATACTTCTCTCCCCACTCCAAGAGAAGATTTCGTTTTTTTGCATCCATCCTCTTGACTTCAACCTTCGCTCCCCACTTTTCAACTTCCTGTGATATATGTACAGACATAAAAAATGGATGTATGGGCTCTACGGAACCATACATCTCTGATTCATCAAGAGCTGACTTTGAAATCTCACCCTGAAAAAAATAACAAGCACAATACTCTTAGATCATATCCAAACTGCAATATCTGTAATTGTAACATAAACATTACAAATTGGAAAATCTTTACGTCAGGAGTAAGAATGTCTGACCTTTGTCCGAGCTGTCTCTTCATCTTCGATGACACCCAAGTCTGCCATGCGCTTCATTCGACCTCTCAGAACGGTTTCTCCAAGATCAAGTTTAGCTTTCCTGCCCGTTGGACTATAGAGATAATCCAGAAATTTCAAGATTATTCGTTCATTACATTCCAAAGATGGATTCCAGTTGGATTGTTCAATCCAACTGTACTTACCACAGAATACTATCCATTCTTTTGCCTCAGCTTTCAAATCCCTGCAACTGTCATCTGCACTCAAGATTGCCACAAGATCTTCCATGGCTTCAACTTCGTCAATGTCAATCTCTGACTTCTTCATACCTCGCCGTTGACTGCTCTTTCTGTTTTTGGCGTGCTCTCCCTTCACCCACTCTTGAATAGAATCTACGAACTGTGCCTTTCTCCTACAGGGATCTAGTAGTTCGTCAAGATGATCAAAGACAAAATTTGAAAACTCTGGAATTCTCAACATGTTCCAACCTGGAAGGAAATTCTTGCATACGAGTCTCATGGCCCTCAAAATCACTGGAGGTTCCTCCAATTCTCCTATATCCTCTCCCGTCATTAGAGAATATATTTTTTGGTCGAAATACCCCTTAATAATCTAGACACACAACTCAAACTGTCAATTCTGCAACATATATACGGTTATTGCAATCTGAACATAATAAATCTCATATTATTTGTGGAAGTCTACTTGATTTCAATTTGAAATAAACAATGCAAATAGAAAAAAAAAACTTGCCAATAAAAGAATTGCATACCTCGCCTCGAAAGAAGTCCAACTTATCTTGCTTGTGCTTGATGGATCAAGCACAAGCAACAATGACAGAAATTACCAAAATGCTTGTCACAAGAGTCAATCAACTCTTTCTTGTCAGCCTTCCTGGAAACTCCAGTCGTCTTTGGTCCAGGTGGAAGCTTCTGGGTAATTTGGAGATGACAGTCCACATGGTCTTTCCTCCAATGCTTTTCGATATAATTTTTTTGGAAAAATGTTCCTGGGAAAGGACAACCTTGCAGTAGGCATTTCCAGTTATGCCTACCGCCCTTGGTGACGTGTGGCACCTTCGCATAGTGCCTATCCAATATCGCCTCTTCCAGTTCGCCCCCAAATACTTCCGCCATGACCGCTCACTACACCACTGGCTCGCAACAGGAGTTCGCTAGAGATGTAGCAGCTGGAGATATGGAAACGGTTAGGCTTATTATAAAATATATCCACATGAAATCACATTTTCCTAATGGCCTAGAACAAAGTCCATAAGATGAGATCACCTCCCTTCCAAACCTCTCAAGCTTCTAAGTTGAAACTAACAATGCAGATAAATATGCTCGGACACACAAAAGTACACTCTTTACAGCTTGCACTCAGATTCCACACACAGGGCCAACTGAGCTCAAAAGTGGCAAGACATATCGGGTGTTTCAAATTTCTTAAGCAGAGGCTCTTGGTCTCTTAAAAATTGATCCCTTTTGATCTGAACTGGCTTTGACGTCCACGACAAGTGTCACTTGGAGAGCGAACTGATTTCGTAGCTATTTCACAGAAACTTTAAAATCATATGTGCTTTTAATAGTCAGACAGAAGCTCATGGCTGGAAGAGAAACATGAATCGATCCGCATTTGCAAGACTGCGATGTATTGCTGTCACTAAAGCAGTTGCCGGTATAAGTGGATCTGAGAAGACAAAACTCGGATTTAAAACCTTTGTCTTACATAGTAGTTAACTTACAAGGGCAAAGTTTGCAATAGACGCACTTAGAAGGACAATACTATTGTAATCAGATCTATAATTCACTTACTCTATTGTGCCGGAATTATTTAGAGTGGGTGGAGTACTTCCGTTCAGGCAATTATTGTCGAGCTTTCTGTTGGCAGAGCATAATGGAATGAGAAAGTAAGCTGCATTGTATTTACAGATACAGGGAGAACGCAAACACATAGCAGGGTGAACGACATCATTTGAAGTGAGCAAATTTTGAATAATCGTCGGGAAGATAACGGCTTTTGCTGACCAAGGATGCAGTGATTTCACAATTGGTGGCTAAAACACTCAGCACTCACAAGGCCTTGTAAGCGAATCTGTCTGATCCGTTTCCAGAGAACGGTAATCTTCAGGTGAATAATGGAAAACAAAATGGTGAAGGTTTAGTTTTGGGCATACCTCGAATGCTTCATCCGCGACCGAGATTCGCAGGTTTGAGAGTAGTCAGTGGTTGTTTTCTCAGCATGCCGTTAGAATTAAAAAACTCGAAGTCCTGTGCTTACTTTCTAATCTATGAGTATCTGTGCTCAGGATCTTGTCTATTGACTTTTCTAGCCTGCTCCAAAATCATTTTCATCGAAATTTCAAATACAAGAAGGTTGACGAGTCATTCTCAACGCGTGCATGACAAGGGCCTCTCATAGAAACATTTGAGTCAAGAGTACAAAGGAAGCAAGAGCAACTGACAAAGCTTCAACTTGTAGGTGATAAACTTCATTTACCTGATCGCTCACTGATGGAGACCTTGAAACAAGATCCGATGAGGTGGATCTTCCACAGTAGATTGATGCTGGAGGACTTCCGATCGTGAATTGCAATGACTAGGACATGGATATAACCAAGCCGAGGTTAGTATAAGTGGATGACAGCCACGTAGACGCTGTCAAAGAGAGTCTCAAGCCGCAACATGGAGATAGTAATGTCAGGAAAAAATGATAGTAAGGAGGCTAGACAACTCACGGAAAACAGACTGATCGCGCAAAGGCGTACCAAACGGTTCGAGGTTCTGGGTTTAAGGCTGAACTATCATACATCTGTCTAAAACCATGGCAACAAGAACAGCCTTGATCCGGATGTCCTCGAAGCTATGGAGTTTAAGTTTGAGATCGAAACGCACTTCCCCAGATTGACTGGGCACGACATTCAGTATACGAGACGAATAGTCCGAGAAATGGACTTGAAAATTCAGCGCTCTTTTGCAGCAGGACCGTTCTTCCGAATGGATTTCGAACTACTGTGGACACCCACAATTCGACAGTCAACGAACAAATAAATTGAGGAAATTCAACTGCCCGAGACAGAATATGTGGCACGCTCTTCGTGAAGCGTGCACACTAGGTTTTCCTGTCGAGCTCAAGAATCATCATCGAGCGGCCTTATTCTCAACCCAGCATCGCCTCCCAACGCGCGAGTATCATAACATCCGAATGCAAGACATCTGTGTTTCCAGCTAATAAAGGCCCTCCATAAGAGAACCATCAGGCTTCGTGCTTGGGAATGCCCAAACCCAGCCATTGAGCCATACTAGTGTCATTATATAGATTTTTATTGAGTATTGATTACTATTTGACTTTTGACCTCGTCGCTCGACAGGCTACTCGACATTTTTCTCATTTCAAACCTAAAAAAAAAAGAGTCATGGATTCAAATTCATGGGTTTATATTAGCTTTTTGAGTTTCATAGTCAAATCTACGATTTCAGTCCTAGCTTTACATATATGGTAGTTTTGAAAAAATATCCTATTCTCAAAATAGGATATTATTTCTAGGATATTATATCATACTTGTCAAAATAGGTCCGATTGCCAAAATATTAACAACTTTTTTATCATCTGAAATATCATCAATTGTGATTCCATACCCACCTTTGTCTTTAAAAAATGTTTTACTTACTTTTGCCGGAATTGAAGCATATGAGATGAATATACACAATACAGTATAATAATGAACATCAAAGTTTTAAGAGATACAACCATGACAAGTATCAAATGAATTTATCTCCAACCTCAACATATTGGCAATACAGCATGTGGGATTTTACTGTGTACGTGACTTTTTTTTCAAAAAAGTTTGTATTTTTTGAAAGATGCAACGAATGAATGTCATCGCTACTTACGTGCAATGCTCTGAACCTCATCATAACAAGTGTACCCAAAAATTCTATGGTCCAGTCTAATAGACTATTGTGGTCAGTCATTGAATATAGAGGTGAAGTGCATGTCCAAATATGGATAGGATTAATTCCTCAACTTCAAACAGGAGTTTTTTTTCCCATTATTTAAGTAAATCTATATGCAATGAACAAGTAAAGTTCTGAGGGTCAATATTCAAGCAAGATCACACATTATAAGCTCAAGTCTTGCAAGATCTAACTGGTGCTGTAAGTTACTTCTCATCCTTGCACATTACACTGCCTCCACCTCATGGAATTCCAAAGACTTTTGACGAAAGAATATCAAGCTGTCACATCCAATCAAAAGTTGGATCTCAATAATATCAAAAAACGCAGAATCAAGTTTCTTACTTTTGAAACGTCATCTTAGCAACATTGACTGTCATCATTGAACAAATAATTTACACACATAATTTACACAATTGTGTACCGTGAGTTCATGGTAAATTTCCAAACTGTAATCAGCGCATGCACATCAGCTAAATGTGGAATTGGACAAAATGGTTTCATTTTACTATGAAATTGGAACAACATTTATGCATCACAAGCAAACAACTTAGGGAGAAAGAGTCAAGTCGATCGTCTCTCCTAGAATTCTAGCTTGTTCCTCTTTACGTTTTTCTCTATTTGCACTTGCCTGAAGGAATTGCTTGATCAGACTTCGAGTTCTTTTGACCTTCTGCCTGCCCTTTCGAAGTCTGAGCTGTAAAGCTCCTTCTTCTACCTTTCCTAAATCTGCGGTAGGGGCTCTAAATCTTTCTCCTGTTTCAAGTAATCTCTGTGGCTTAGGACATTTAATGCCTGCTAATTTTTCAAGCCAACTCAATTTCCTGAATGATGAGCTAGGCTTATCTAGCATGGATGTACGCCACATGTCTGCAACAGGAAGTATTCTACCAGTACTCCATGCTTGGTGAGACTCCTTGATACGTCCAATGCAATGCCGGAGCTCTAGCTCTCCCACTTTCAGCATACTAGGATTTTCATCAAAAAAGTCCTTCAGCCATACCAATTGAGTATGAAGAACACGCTTGATCTTTTCTTCCTCCTCCAGATCTGTTGGCTTCGATGCTTTCTTTACAGGGCTGTCCGTATCTGATAACACATAGAACATGTACGGTTAGGTAGTTTCATCACTCAAACTGTCATTTCTGCAAAATATATGCAGTTATTGCACATTAAACTGACAGTTTGAAGTACCTTCTGTAAGGTTGAAGGTGTCATGGCAATCATCTTTGACTTCAATATCTGCAAGTTCTCTTCGAAGGACTGGATCCTCATTGAAATCATATATCTGTGATGAAGGACCTTTATCAAAGAGCTCTTTGATTCCACCTCGTATTCCACCAAACCGTATGCCCAAACAAATGCGGATGTTGGTCTCGGAATATCCTTTCCTTCGTAGAATAAGAATCTAGACACACATGAATCAAGCAGTGTTAATAAAAAATACAGATACGACCAATATATGCAATCAAAAACAGAATTACAATCTGAGTTGTACCTGATGTTTGCAAAAGTTGCCTTGGAGTGACCAGAAGCACTCGCATGCATACTTTTCTCGTCTCCAATTTACAAGATACCTTCTATTTAGCTTTGATGTAGAGCCCACTAATGCGGGGCCTGCATAGCCATGAGGCCAAGTAACAGGGACAGTTAGCATAGATCTTGTCTTCATGATCACAGCAATCACACGTTGATCTTTCTTCTTATTTGGAATAAAGCCAAGTAGCTTCTTCTGATCTTTGTACCAAATTCTCATTACAAAATCCCCTAGCAGACCATATACTGTATGATCCAAACGTTGCTCATGTGCATTCCTGCGCCAGCCATAAAGGAAATCCTTCATGTGTCCATGCATTGATTCCATAGCGTTGTTGGTATCTTGATTGTTACGACATGTCTTCCTCCGTTCATCACGAATCCACTGACCTGAATTCCAAAACAGTAAGTTAGATGTGCTTGTGGAAGTTCATTAAGCAAAAAACAACTTCCAAAATGTAATAACTTCAAATATAATGCACATGTTACAAACTTACACTTACCCATACAAGGTTCCCATTCTGTTTGAAAGTATTTCACAAATTGTGGCTCAGAGAGCTGAAATTTTTTGTAAAATAACAGAAGCTTCATCGCAGCAAATCTTTCCACATCAAATTCTTCTCCATCAGCAATTAATGTGCTTCCAAAGCACAGGTCTTCTAAAGCAGCATTCATAATAGCTCTCTTTTCATGACCACTCACAACCTCAATCAATTTCTTTGTCCATGCTTTTCGAACATGATATATGCAAAGAAATACAGGGATATGCGGAAAAACAATGTCCAGGGCAAGTCTCTCATTGTCAGCACAATCCGTCATGAAGCACGAGGGCATCCATCCAGGGATATAATGTTGGGCCATCTTCTTCACTGCAGATAATAAATCCACCAGATCTTCTGTTTCTTCTTTTTCGAGGAATCCAAAAACAGTAGGATGTCCGTGTTCATATTCGTCAAACACCATCAGGGTGTACAGTGGATACTGCATTGCAAAAAATGAAATAAACGTATCAGTTTGCTGCTAGCAATCGTCTACAAAGTATTCATCTTCATTAATACTAAGCTAAACCTGATACAAATGAATGATTCGCTATTTTTATGTCTTGATAATTTAGACGTGATCAAGGTATATAAAACAACATATACATCACACATTGAGACGTTCAATAATCTCTTACAGGATTGGTTAAAGCTCCAAACCGTCATTTTTTCAAATATCTTGCAGAGATTGCAAATAGTAAGGTAGAATATACATAATCATGGAAGCCTGATGATAAAAACATCAAAATGTGGTAGTAGAATATTACCTTATACTTCTGCGTGCCATGCGTTCCATCTATAGCAACACAACCTCCATTTCCATGTTTTAGCAACCAATCTAGGAGCAAGGGTCTTGTAACAGCAAGCCTCAATGGTTTAAATGGATCACTTTTTGGTGCCTGATACAAAACAACTTGAGATGAATTCGCTTTCATCCATAATTCTGTGCTAATTCTATCATTAGCATGCCTTCTCCAAGTTTCTTTGTCCAGTTCCAATTTGATATTATACACATCGGCAGATGTGATATAATGATCTCTAATAGGGGACCCTTGCACATAGCCTAAGCGCTGATGATTTTCAAACAGTGCTTTTGCAGCACGCATGAGAATTTGTGGAGGAGTTAAACCTCTTCTTAACTCGCATTCAACCCACTCCCTGGCATAAGAACGTAGAAAATATTAGACAACGTGCTTGCTTAGTGTCAAAGTTTTACAAACTGTAATAACAACAAACTTATTGTAGATATTACAAATATGACGGGAGATTGACTGTGAACGATAAACAAATATATTGAAAATGTAACAAATATGCCGTTACCTGCATTCAGAGGATAAATTGCGCGCCATTTGAGATGGCAAGCCAACACTATCTGAACACGCTGTGCCATGACAAGCTACACCTGCAGCATTTACGTGTCTTCTATGCTTGTATATCAATTTTGTGATTCCTGGTGGAATGTGATCATTAGACAACAGTTTAATGGCACTAAACCTGCACTGACAGCCCTTGTGATGCGAATCATGATCTAGTCTATCCCTGCTGCCAGGACCAAATTTTGCCTTCGTTGATGGATCTTGAATAAAATTCGATGAAAGCATACTCTTCTTGCCCCTTTCTGGAGTACCATACTTGCAATAATACATTGCATACGATTCCCAATTGTGCCTAGTACCTCCACCCTTGTATGAGCAACGTGTCACAAATTCTGTCTTCGCATCACTATGACAAGATCCCTCTCCCGAAACAAAATCGTGAAGCCTCGAGCTTTTGATGTAGGCCGTCCCATTTGACCAATTCAACATTAACGAATTGAAAGTGCCTTCATAAGGTGAGTCCTGCACAATCCATCCTGCCTCCATGCTGTCACCACACCTACAAAAGCACCTGAAATGACAAGAAAAGTACAAGCACGAGCTCTGGCACGAGCTCCTCAAAGCACTGACACTGGCACCCAAAAGCGACGTCAAAACGACGAGCTGGAGAATATTGATGTGATTCTATTTTCAAAAACCCTAATCTTTGCCGCTTAAAATTTCGTCGCCTCAATTTGTTATCACCGTTTCATTACAAATATTACAGTCTGAATATTAGGGATTCCATCTGAGCTATCCCTCTTGCAGTTCAGTTTTAGTTCTTTTTCCCGCAACGTTCCACGACACGACTGCGATCATTGTTGCGGCGTAGATCATTGCAACGCACTAGATACAACGTTGCGGCCTCTACATGGTTGCCGCAAAGTGCCCTCCCCG